TTGTAGGACTTTGGTATACGTTTCAGTGGAAGTAAACATGCATGGAAATAATTTAAATATTTGACACTAAGTATTTGTAACCATTTGTAATGTTTGAGGTATGAATTCGTTGGTGACGTTTATAATATAATAGATAATTTAGAGGTAAAAGTTTTTGGATATTTTATTTATTTTATACGTGGAAATGTTCATCGTTGGAAAGGGTATATACTTTTTTGCGATCAGGGAATTTCATATATGTTCTTTTTACCAGATTTAAAGATTCACAAAATTTTCATGCATTTTCGTGAAATTTTTCTAATTTATGAGAAAAAAGCAGTGTAGATGGATAAAGTTAAGAGTGTGTGCAATGCCATTTTTGTGCAATTCTGGGATTTTTTTTAAGTAAAAATAAGTCGACGTGTATATGGTTAAGTGATATTTTAATTAAATGATAGTTATTTTGTGAATTTTATGTTTGTAAGAATTTGGTATACGTTTCAGTTGAAGTAAACGTGCATGGAAACAATTTAAATATTTGACACTAAGTATTTGTAATGTTTTGCGGTATGAATTCGTTGGTGACCTTTATAATATAATAGAAAATTTAGAGGTAAAAGTTTTTGGATATTTTATTTATTTCATACGTGGAAATGTTCGTCCTTGGAAAGGGTATATACTTTTTCGCGATCAGGTAATTTCATATAGTGTGTTTTTTACAGAGTTTAAAGATTCACAGAATTTTTTTGCATTTTCGTGCAAATTTTTTTTTTTTTTTTTTTTTTTATGAGAAAATAGCAGTGTAGATGGATAAAGTTAAGAGTGTGTGCAATGCCATTTTTGTGCAATTCTGGGATTTTTTTAAAGTAAAAATAAGTCGACGTGTGAATGGTTTATGTATATGTGCTATTCTGAAAAACGCGCAAGGAGTTTTGCGATTATGCACTTTTCCCAATTTTGCAGTTAATATTTGTCATGATTTAAGCAGTTTTTGTTACATAAAATTTCTAGCATAAGTGTAATTCGGCTAGTAGTAGATTGTTGGAAAAAAAGTGTTCAGTGAATAAAAAGAAAAGAAATATGTCTTTACTTCGTGAAGACAAAATGGCTGCGAAAAAAAATAGAGGGTTGCTGTAGCAGAGTTGGTCGTCCATAAAACGCCAAGTTACCATAATCCAAAGATCAACCCTAATGTCTTCATGTCATATTTCATTTAACAATATTGTGTGCAGTGCCATCCCCCCCCCCCCCACCCACCGGTTTGTGAGTTTTTGAACCTTTTTTTTTTTACGGAAAATAAATTCCCATGACCTCCTTTACACGATTACCAAGTTTGCTAACATTTGGTTCAGTAGTTTTACTTTTGTGACCAATTCAAAGTCGAACTTTTAATTATGACCACCCTATATATATACATATTTTATGTTTTAAGTACATATTTATTTAAAAAGTCTATGAATAAATGTATTTAAATGTAGGTTTTTGTTTCTCTTGTTTTATTGAAATAATTGTTGTATAGTAATTTAAAGCAGTTGTTCCCCTTAACAGCTTTGCATTCAACTGCCATTTCTTGCAGAAATTTTACTGCAGTAGCTTTCCTTGCTGATCTATTCCAGAGGGTCATATTGTAAAATTTTGTGTAAAGACCAAAAATATCACGATTTGTAAAAATTGTACCTTGGAATATGACAAAAGTAATGTTTAAAAAAAAAAAAAAAAAAACACTGTGAAGTTGTTTGTGTTGATCTTTACATTACGGTAACTGGTAGTTTGGCGACATTTTGGAGGCGATAAAGGTTACTACCTGGGACTTTGGTAATAATGTGAGCAGTACTGAGTTCCGATTACGCATTATTTTGTGTGGGGGAAATGAGAGATCATGGGATATGTCATGTGATATTAATGGACGAATTACGGTTCTTTAATCGGAAGAGATGATGGGATATGTCATGTGATTTTAATGGACGAATTACTGTTCTTTAATGGGGAAAAAATCTGGGAATTTGTATTTGGCTTTATTCTGTGTTGTGTGAAATAGTGTTTGTGAATTTTTGGATCCCATGGCCGTAAGTAAAGTGAATTCGAAATGGGTATTAGTGGTATTGAAAAGGATAGTAAGAAATGTTTTTTAAGGTTGTGTGTGGAAGAGAAATAAACATGTTTTATTATGTTATTTATTTTACCTGGTATCTTGCTTTTGAAAGATAAGTATGATTTTAAAGATTCTGAAAGAGAATGAAAGAAAGTGTGTATCCGCCACGTAATGAAGATTCTGAAGGAGATTAGGTAAGTTAGTATTTTTAATTATTTTTATGCATTGTTGGAAATGTAAGGTGGAAAGGAATTTGGTATTATTGGGAAAATTGTTATTAGCAATGATTTAGTTTAAAGTAATTAGGATTGTAAGGTAATTTTATTAATTGAATGTATGTGCTCATGTATATTTTAAGTGGTGTTTTGAATTTAATTATATTTTAATGAAATGATAGTTATTTGTGAATTTTATACTTGTAGGAATTTGGTGTATGTTTAAGTTGAAATAAATGGCATGGAAATAATTTAAATATTTGATAATAAATATTTGTAATGCTTCATGTATGAATTCGTTAGTGACGGTATAATGTAATAGATGATTTAGAGGTAAAAGTTTTTGGATATTTTATTTATTTTATATGTGGAAATGTTCATATTTGTAAAGGGTAAATACTTTTTCGCGATCATGTAATTTCATATATGTTCTTTTTACCGGGTTTAAAGATTGAGAAAATTGTCATGATTTTCGTTGATGTGAAATTTTTTAATTTATGAGATAAAAGCAGGTGTACATGGATATAGTGAAGAGTGTGCGCAATGCCATTTTGTTGCAATTCTGGGAATTTTTTTAAGTAAAATAAGTCGACGTTTGTACATGGTTCAGTGATATTTTAATGAAATGATAGTTATTTTGTGAATTTTATGCTTGTAGGAATTTGGTTTACGTTTAAGTTGAAGAAATAAACGTGCATGGAAATAATTTAAATATTTGATACTAAATATTTGTAATGCTTCATGTATGAATTCGTTGGTGACGTGTATAATGTAATAGATGATTTAGAGGTCAAAGTTTTGGATATTTTATTTATTTTATATGTGGAAATGTTCATATTTGTAAAGGGTAAATACTTTTTCGTGATCAGATAATTTCATATATGTTCTTTTTACCGGGTTTAAAGATTGAGAAAATTTTCATGTATTTTCGTGAAATTTTTCTAATTTATGAGAAAAAAGCAGTGTACATGGATATAGTGAAGAGTGTGCGCAATGCCATTTTTGTGCAATTCTGGTATGTTTTTTTAAGTAAAAATAAGTCGGCATGTACATGGTTTATGTGTATGTGTTATTTTGAAAAATGCGTAAGGAGTATGGCATTGTGCACTTTTTCCCAATTTTGCAGTGAATATTTGTCATGATTAAGCAGTTTTGTTAGATAAAATTTCTAGCATAAGTGTAATTCGGCTAGTAGATTGTTGGAAGAAGTGTTCAGTAGATAAAAAGAAAAGAAACATGTCTTTACTTCGTGAAGACAAAATGGCGGCGGGAAAAAAAAATAGAGGGTTGCTGTAGGAGAGTTGGTCGCCAAATTTTCGCCAAAAAGACGCCAAGTTACCATAATGTAAAGATCAACCGCAGTCTTCTTCTTATCCAAATACAAGCATGATTTGTTGAATCCCTTTTGTTACTGCTCTGAGATTTATATGTTTATGATGTCAAGAACTAATATTTGTTGAGTTTTTCGAGTTATGGCATCAAATTAATTGTAATGCTACTGTTGATTGTAATAATTACATGCAAAATATATAGGGTAGTCATTAAAAAGCTCCCGATACAGGAACCCCTAGCGGCCTATCTGCTTAGCAAATTAAAATGAAATTTCAAGTACTGTTATTTGAAGGTATGCACTCGAAGTTGTGCTGATTTAAAACAACAGAGCTCTCTCAATTATACTTACAGTGAAAAATTTTGAAATTTTTGAATGACAGCATCCACTTTCTTCTTGCACAAATTGGTCTGCACAATGAAAAACTATAAATGGCGTTGGAATGCCACATGTGTGATGAAAATTGCTAGTGTAAAACATTTGCAAAGAAGAGCATTATAAAAGACTAATGATAGTGCAAGAGAGGAGATGGGTTGATCAGTTTGCACAAGAAAATGGTGCGTATTGCTGTTCAAAATTTTTTCACCTTAATTAATTATGAGAGATCTGTTGTTTTAAATCATCACAATCTTGAATGCATATCTTCACATAACAATATCTGAAATTTCATTTTGATTGATTAAGCGGATAGGACACTGCGGTTTCCTACATCTGGGAAGTTTTTTTTTTTTATGACTGCCCTGTATGTGCTAATTTCTTATTCAATTACTGTCAAGATATATGTGCCAAATTCATTGTGTCATCTTAGATTAAAAATGATGAATGCAACCAAACTTTGAAAATTGATGAAAGCCTCTTCATGAAAAGAAAACATTATGTAGGCTATGTTTTTCCCCCACCATGGGCTTTGGTTGGATTGTGTCATGAAACAGGGATATTTTATTGTTGCTGTTCTCAGTTGTGCTGTTGACAGTTGGAACTGTAATATTTTCCATCTAATGAAGTGGATACAAATATCTCAATTTGTGAGCAGCTGGATACAAACATTTCATGGTCAACCATTTGTATCACTTCGTTGATCCCAGTATATTGGATGTAATACCCAGTCTGTTGAGCACTTCTGGAGTAGTGCAGAATGGCACAGTAAATGATAAAGAGGCACTGCTTGTCAACATTTAAATCTGTATTTGTTTGAATTCATATGGTTCACATGATTTTAAAACAGACATGTTTTCAGCTGTGCTAAATGCTATTTTTAATTTTATGTCTTCCTTTTAGTAAGTTTAGGTTAAAATGCTATTCACCTGTTTTTAAGATAATTATATATTTATTATGATACAACAGATTATAACCATGTAAACTTTTATTATATATTACTTTTAAGGGCAATGACTGTCATGAAAGGTCGGTTGAAAGCTGCACAGAAAGGACATGGACTTCTGAAAAGAAAAGCTGATGCATTGCAACTAAGATTTCGGCAGATACTTAAAAAGATTGTAGAGGTAGTTGGTTTATAATTCTTATCTATATTTTTTTTAATGAAACGTATTGTTATGAAGTAATGTTATGTTTTTACATAGTGTAAATATGTGTTTCAAAATCTGTTAAAACACATGTTTAACTGGTTTTCAGAATTAACTAAAACAGGTTTCACGTAAACTCCAAATTGTAACTTATATTTGGACAAAAGTCATCAAATTAATCATTTTGCAGAAATTGTCAAAATTAGTGTCAAGAAAATGCTTATCTATGAATGATTTGCAAGGGCGTAGCTAGAGGGGGGGGTAAGGGAGGACATATGTCCCCAGGCGCAGCTTCCAGTGGGTGCCTAGCTGATGTTACGATTTTTTTAAATGAAATCTTTTCCACTCGTAGCAAACAAGAGGAGAGTGCAAGATCTATAGTTGTGCCAGGGTGTTGAAAACCCCAGCTACAGCTCTGATGATTTGGATGCCAAAAGTGAAGCAGAAAAAAGCAGTGAGGGATGTGATTTTAATTAATGCTTTTCTCCTGCTGCTGTCCATGGAAAGAAGGAAATAGTTACAAAGGATATTTTTTTTAATTGGATAATGGTAAATAATTATTCTCAATTGCAATAAGCTCTTTTAAGAAAAATATTCTTCTTTATGACAACAGGGATTTATTTAGTAACTTTATAAACATGAGTTAAATGAATAACTTTAGTTACAATAGCCATTTTCAAAATAATGTATGTAAATTATAATTAGGTTTTAGAATTAATTTGTATAAATAAAATGGATGTTACCATATTTAATATATGTTAACGTGTAAATAAATTTCAAATATATAATAGATTCATACTGAATATGTGATTTTGAAACAGATTCTTCTACTTATTTCTCAGCTTAAATGAAGAGATTCATTATTTTAGATTCCAAATGAGAAAAAAATAAAGGTAGTTGAAGAATTACCATTTTTTACCAAGAGCATGCAATAACGCTCATATTATAGTTCACAATAATTTCCAGTTTGGCATAAGGAGTGTTTGCTGATTGTGTTATGCCTGATTTCACTACTTGCTTTTTTGCTCTTTTAGAAACCGTGAATTTGCATGCTTTGAAAGTTTAAAAAGGATACTAGGTGTATAAACAATGAGTGCTTAAATGTAATGAACTGTTGTTAAAGTCAGTATTAAATTAATCTGTAAGAAGTTCTATTCATATTCACCAAATTGGGATGATCTTGATTGTTTTCAAAAGAGACATAGATTTGATGGAATCCTCTTTTCTGAAAGATGTTCAAAATCCCTTAGAATTTATCTGTTGGGTAATTCTGGTCTTTCATGCTAGTTGATTTTTCTTTCTGTTTCAACAAAAGTTAAAGTAGAATAACTTAGCCAAATTTTACACTTGTGCACTTCAACCTATTTGAGAATTTTGTGCTAAAAATTGGCTCTGCATTTGAGTTTTCAAACTGCTGTAAAATTTTATTGGATTATTATGATTTCTCTGTGCCATTTTCCATTGAAATTTCTTTTAAATGCAAACGGTCTTGTTTCTGAGACTACCAGATAAAAATGCTCCATATTTTTTTAAACAGTTTTAAATTTGATTTTTTTTCTGTGAGCAGAATAAATATATAGCCCTATGCAACACTGTACTAACTTCTGTTAATTTTTGAAGACCATCACACATTAAAGCAAGATCTAAAAAGAAACAGATACTCTTGATTTTTTTCATATAGTCTTCATACAAGTTTCACTCTATTCTAATTTATTTTAGCACTTTGAAATGCAAACACTAGCCTCAAAATTTCATCAAACAGCAGAAATATATTTAAAACTGGGAACAAACCATCTAGTAGCTAAAATTTCCTTCTTAAAATTCCCCTATCAATCTGTTCTGCTTGGCATTTTAATTCTTTTACATTCTTAAATGGACCAGTACAGTTTATCAATAAAAGTGGAAGTGGTTTGCTTGCGATGTAAAGTCTTCGTTTACTATATTGGGCAAAGAAAGTTCTTATCTGTGATTACTGTAATGCCAAAAGTAAAATTTTATGAGACATTTTAGTACTGCCATTACACCTTTATTTCAGCCACTCAGTTGCAACTGCCAAGAAAATCATGAAAACCAAATTGGCTTCAATAGGTCATGAATATTCGTGGATATTCTGTAAACAGTGACTTTTTAAGTTCTATTACATCAAAAAACAGGTAGATAAGCTCATGCATAATTGCAGGAGTCATGAATGACTTACTTCCAGTAACATTCTTTTGTAAATATGAAGTTAGGATAACTGATTTATCACAGTGCTTTCTTCTGTTACAGGCAAGATCAAACTATGGTTTGTGAGCCGCATGAAGCTTTTTGGCAACTTAAATGTGACTTAGCTGCAACAAACAGTTTTATTTTTTAAATACAGTTAGTTTCATTTTGAAATGGGAATTATGCAATGACACACCTATTTTTATCAATTAGTAATTTAATTTCTTTAATTACACTATGTGTGCAATGATTTAATTGGTTTTAGACTGTTTATCATCAGGGTAACAAACAAAATTGCAAAAAATTCTGCAAATTATTATAATAGAGATGTTATTTTTAGAGTAGACAATGACCACTGGAGTATGCTAAAAGGTAAATATAAAGGTAATTTAAAAGGTAATGGTCTTCAATTTTCCAGCCCCTCAAGTTTTATTTTATTTCTTTTATCTCCTCCTGCAGTAGTTCCTCTCCTTCTCAATATTCACAATCCAATCTCTTGAAAGATTTGTTGTTACTTGCATGGTACTGCTATTTTTCAGTTGTTCAATGGCTTGTGAGATCACCGAATAAACCTCTTTCAGGAAAGAAAAACTCTCTCCACACTTGGGGTTTTTCAGGGAGATATGAGGGAGAGGGATTTGAGGTCTGGTTGACTCGTGTAAATAATTGGAACTTTCTTTTTGATAATGGTTCCATGGTACACCCCATATAGAAATCATCGTTTGCTACATCTGCAATAGTGCATGTTAAAATATTTTTTAGTAATGGAGAGAATCATTAGATTGTCTGCAATTTTAGCTGTGGCTTAAATCACTAATCCATGTTTCTTCAGATTGTTCAAGACAGAAATATTTCACTTTATCATCAAACCTTTGTTTCAGTAAAGTCACATTAAACAGTGAAGAACTCATCAGTCATCAACTTTCTTCTTTTACGATACTTTTTGCAAAACGTTATATGCTGATGCTAGTGAAATTGTTGTAGCTTGAGATATTTCTTTGCATATTGCTTGAAGATTTCTTTTCTACCCCATTGCTCTTTCTTTGCCTTTTGATATTTTTGGCCTTGCTTGCCATACATCATCTTTCATCTCTTAACACTTTCTTCACAAGCACAGGTAGCTCAATAGAAAATTTTACACCAATCAACCTTCTGACTAGTGTAAACTTCATGAAGTAAGTTGTAAAATTCTGCTGAAATTTTTGCAATGTAATTTTTTAATTTTTAATGTATTATAATTTAATTTTTAATTTGAATTCTATTATGGAAGGAAAAATCAAATGCGCATGCGTGAAGCATATAAAAAAAAAAATGTTTGTGGCTTTGAGGTCCGGATTTTAGATCATTCCAGATAATAAAAGTCCGGATTTCAAACTTTGTACTATATTAGGTTCTTTTGGTAATTGCACTGGTAGCCGAGATGCTGATGGACAACTAGTACTAGTAGCGTCAGCTTGGGTATTCTATGCGTTTTGAAAAAAAAAAAAAAAAAACTGAGTAATTTTAAAGTTCTGGTTTGTTAAGTCTTCCTCTCGCTTTTTTTTCCTTCATTACATTCTGACACAGACAGTTTTTTCTTTTTTTCTTCCGACATCTGGGGGGAAAATGAAAACAGAACTTCTCAAAAAGTGAGTATACCTTGAACCATTGCTTGGAAAATATATGAACTTTTAGATCAATACCAAATAATTCAAGGAGGTGCTGGTACTCTTTTGTTTATTAAAGTAAATAAATCAAATTTAAAGTATGCATTTTCCTTCGGTTTTCCGTATAGCTAAAAATCGGAAAATGGAACATTTTTTATCTCAGAATACCTTGTATATTTTTACTCCACTTCAAATTTCAAATAGGTATATCTTAAATTCAGTGGTACCCCATAAATACGTCAATCCTTTCTTCTCAAAAGATAATAATGTTTAGTTTAATAAACAAACGGTTCATGTAAAAAAAATATTTTTCGTATAATTATGCTCAAATTGTGGCTTTTCTGAATTGAAAAAACTAGCCTAAGTTTAACATAATAATATGTAAGTGCACTTTCCTATTTTTTAATGTAGAATAACAATAAAAACAAGCAATTACCAAGCAAAAGCACAAAAAAATGTTGCACAAATTACTACGATTGCAGCGGTAGACACAAAATACAGTCAAAAGTTGTTAATTCGGACACCCATAATCCGGACTTCAAAGCTACAAACTTTCTGCGCATGCGTCGCTTTGAGGCATGCGCAGAAATGCATCTCGTTGACGCATTACGCTGCAGCGCGCAATGAATTGGAAGTTGATCTGTCAGTACTATCATTATCTTCAGAGCAGATGTTTTTATTTTATTTGGCTTATAATTCCTTACTAAATGTATTTCATCTTGATGTACTCCGTCTTTGATATGATTTAAATCAAATTCCTCCTCATTATAATTCGCTTCTGATAGTGAAGAAAGTGACACAGAGGTTATTGAAAACAAAAAAATTTCGATTGACAAAATAGTCGGTATTCTCGACACAGCAATTATAGGACTTGAACAGCGGAACTGTTAAACATAGAAAATGCCGTGGTTCGCAAAACAAATATTTGTTACTGAGATATGCAGAGATACACACAGAGTTACATGCAGAGATACACGCAGAGTTGAGCACAAGCACAGATAAGTAAGTACAAGCAGAATAATACAAGCAGAGATAAGTAGAAGCAAGGATAAGCGGTTACAGAGTTTATATATATAACTTTATAACAGTTCATGGTTTAACAAATCATAAACAAGACACAATAAATAA